GTGTCTGAGTGCGTAAAAGGAAGGAAGGAAGGAAGGAAGGAAGGAAGGAAGGAAGGAAGGAAGGAAGTGTGTGTGTGTGTGTGTGTGTGTGTGTGTGTGTGTGTGTGTGTGTGTGTGTGTGTGTGTGTGAGTGCGTAAAAGAAAGGAAGGAAGGAACGAACGAAGGAAGGAGGAAGGAAGGAAAAGGAAAGAAGGAAGGAAGGAAGGAAGGAAGGAAGGAAGGAAGGAAGGAAGGAAGGAAGGAAGGAAGGGAGGAAGGAAGTAAAGAAGGAAGGAGGGAAGGAGGAAGGAAAGAAGGAAGGAAAGAAGGAAGGAAGGGAGGAAGGAAGGAAGGAAAGAAGGAAGGAAGGAAGGGAGGAAGGAAAGAATGAAAGAAGAAAGGAAGGAGGGAAAGAAGGAAAGAAGGAAAGAAGGAGGGAAAGAAGGAAGGAAGAAGGGAAAGAAGGAAGAAAGGAAGGAAGGAAAGAAGGAAAGAAGAAATGAAGGAAGGAAGGAAGGAAGGAAGGGAGGAAAGAAGGAAGGAAGGAAAGTGCGACGAAGGAGAGAGAGAGAGAGAGAGAGAGACAGAGAAAGAGAGAGATTATTATTGAAATTATTATTATTATTATTATTATTATTATTATTACTACTGTTGTTATCAAGCTGTTACCAATCACCATTATTTATGCTATTTACATGCGGACGATTGTCCTCATCTTTGTTGTTGTTATCTCAATTTTCGGTAGTTGTGCCCTCCGGCCTTCAACAGCTGTATATCGATCCGAATACCGAACTGAACCTTTTATCTAATCTCTTTCTCTCTCGCTCTCTCTATCTCTCTCTATCTCTCTCTCTCTCGACCACAGGTTCGCATTCTCTATGTACGTATGTATGATTCTATCTATCTGTATGTATGTAAGTATTTATGTATGTATGTATTTCATTCTACACTTATATCTAAATAGTTTGTTAATATCTATCGTTATATCTTTATATATATTTTCAATGAAGCCTTGCATCTATCTATCTATCTATCTATCTATCTATATCTATATATATATATATATATATATATATATATATATATAGAGAGAGAGAGAGAGAGAGAGATGTATCGATAGATATTAACAGACTATATATATAGTACAGAATTAAAATATACATACATACAGAGATATATATATATATCGATACATCTCTCTCTCTTTCTTTCTCTCTCTCTCTCTATATATATATATATTTATTAAAGACATTTTTATGTTTAACTTTCTTTTTTATAGGTACAAGTATTTACATTTGTGGCCGAGTCGGTTAAGGCACGTCAGCGTAAATGACGGTTCCGTATAGGATGCAGGTTCGAATCCTGTCAAAGGACGAATATTTTCTATGAAAATTTCTCGGACATTTAGGCCGGAAAATGTTATTTAATACTGTTTATTATAAACAGAGCATTTATTTAAATACTTGTATCTATAAAAAAGAACGTTAAGCATAAAAATGTCTTTAATAAATAAATTCTCGGATTTGTCCATTTCTTAATATATGACGTCATTTGTTTACATTTGATACGCCATGAGCAGTTATGAATGTACGAGATTCATGGAAGATTGAAGTTTATAAGCAGTAAATTCGACCTTGCCTACCGAACGCTCCTTTGTGGCCGAGACGGTAAGGCACGTCAGCGTAAATGACGGTTCCGTATAGGATGCAGGTTCGAATCCTGTCAAAAGACGAATATTTTCTATGAAAATTTCTCGGACATTCAGGCCGGTAAATGTTATTTAATACTGTTTATTATAAACAGAGCATTTACTTAAATACTTGTATCTATAAAAAAGAACGTTAAACATAAAAATGTCTTTAATAAATAAATTGTCGGACTTTGTCCTTTTCTTAATATATATATAACTATTTTGAGTAAAGAATTGCATCTATCTATATGTGTGTATATATTTATCCATCTATTTCATTCTGGACTATCTATATAATCTGTTAATATCTATCGATACATCTCTCTCTCTCTCTATATATATATATATAGCTATATATATATATTTTTTTCATTTAAGACTTGCATCTATCTATGTATCTATCTGTATGTATGTATGCATCTATCCATCTTTTTCATTCTGTACTTTTACCCATATAGTCTGTTAATATCTATCAATACATCTATATATCTATTTTCAGTTAAAACTTGTGTATATCTATCTATCTATCTATCTATCTATCTGTATATGTATATATATTTTTTTTCAGCGATTTTATATCGTTTTGCTCTAAAGTGTTGGTGGAAAATGACACCAACGTAGCAGTAATGGTGTCTTTGGCTTATATTTTCGTGTAGGCCTAACCGACTGAATTTACTGTTATATTTTCATCTGCCGTCGCTAATAAAGACTTTATTGGCAGTGATGTTTTGACTGTAAAATCAATGTTAAGACGTCGGCTGATGTCAACTCTTAATTTTTTTGTTCTTGTCCAAGTTGGCTATTACGAAATTGACGTTTGATATAATTTTACAAGTGGCCTCAACGTGGTAAACCAACCTTCTTTTAAATGCACCCAATACGAGTAGGCGATTAAATAACATCTGTTGGCATAAGACTTGAGGATTTCAAGGACCAAATATATTCAGCCACCCCAGTAATGAAGACGCTGTGTATCAAAGGATACTCGTTGTCATTGCATAGTTTAAGTTCTATTTCCAGAATGAGGAGCAAATATAAATGCTTGAAATCGTATCTCCTGAGCCGACCAAACATAGAAATGAATACAATACGGGAACCACTAATACGCAGTGTTTGAGAAAAGCAATAATAGCAACAAAATTTGCAATATGAGCTCAGGTAAAAAATGAAATTGAGACATTATATTAATAAATACCAAAAATTCATACACTGATGTCCACAAGAAGACATGTCCCTGTGGATAAAATCGTTGGCTGAATCCAGTGACTTCATCCAAACTGTTGTGAGTTCAATGTGGTGAACAAACTCTTGGACAGTTGAGTTCAAAGGGAGATAACTGAGACATCCGGAAGAGGCATGGCCCGTGAAACTAGAACAACCTACCCCAGTGGACGGAATAAAGGCTTTAGTTCGAATTTCCAATCATCGGAAGAAGGGCGGAGCGTACAATGGCCGAAACGTCGTGAATACGACAAGAAAGAGGAGAACAGCAGTCCGAACAATGTAAATAGTTTAAATAATTGCTACATATCATCTCGGAAATACAGACATATTTCCTTTGACCAACATAGAAGAATCGATGTGGTCTTACATTTTTTTACGGCTACAAAGACGATGACAGCAGTCCGAACAACGTAAATAGTTTAAATAATTGCCATACCCCATTTCCTTTGGAAACATAGAAGAATATCTCCATTTTTACGAGCAACATCCGAACAACGTAAATAGTATAATTGAATTTCGATGTGTTCTTTTGACCATTTTTTACGGCTACAAAGACGATGACAGCAGTCCGAACAACGTAAATAGTTTAAATAATTGCCATACCTCATTTCGGAAATATAGACATATCTCCTTTGACCAACATAGAAGAATCGATGTGGTCTTACATTTTTTACGACTTCAAAGACGATGACAGCAGTCCGAACAACGTAAATAGTTTAAATAACTGCCATACCCCATTTCGGAAATATAGACAGATTTCATATGACCAATATAGAAGAATCGATGTGTTCTTACAGTTTTTAGTCATTTCTTTGGCGATGAGACCAGAGAAACGAAAGAGAAGCAGAAAACGATCTCATTTTGGCCGCGTTTCAAACAATTTTTATGTAGAGGAAAAAAAACGTCTTGATTGACTTCAGTATGATGAATAGGCGAAGAGGGTCGAGGTTGTAGAAAGGGCAAAACGTCCTGATTAAAAACTTATTTGCTGCTGTTTTGATAAATCATCGCGTATAATTGGAGTCTATGGTGGTTTTCATCTGGTGAAAGAATTGCGTAAACATAGTTTCACCTATTTTTTTTGTTTTCTTCTTCGCTTACGTGATTGCGTCTTCGGTTGTTTCAACTGAGCACACATTCGATAACATTGCGTAAGCAGGCATACACGCACACAGACACACGCACAAGCAACATGTATGTTTGTGTGAGGGGATAGATAGATAGATAGATAGATAGATAGATAGATAGATAGATAGATAGATATGAAGAAAGTGAGATAGATAGATAGATAGATAGATAGATAGATAGATAGATATGAACAGTCTGAGATAGATAGATAGATAGATAGATAGATAGATAGATAGATAGATAGATAGATATGAACAGACTGAGATAGATAGATAGATAGATAGATAGATAGATAGATAGATATGAACGGACTGAGATAAATAGATAGATAGGGATGAAGAAAGTGAGACAGATAGATAGATAGATAGATAGATAGATAGATAGATAGATAGATAGGATGAACAATGAACAATAGATAGATAGATATAGATAGATAGATAGATATGAACAGCCTGAGATAGATAGATAGATATAAACAGCCTGGGATAGGTACATAGATAGCTAGCTAGCTAGCTAGATAGATAGATAGATAGAAAACAACAGTGCATGTCCACAGTCAATATCTGTAAACACTCAACCTCCGATAAATATTTTCTTCAATATATATACATTATATATATATATATATATATATATATATATATATATATATATGTGTGTATTAAACGTTGCACAGATCTATCTATCTATCTATCTAGCTAGCTATCTATTCCTTTTCATGTGTTTCATCGATTTTTTTCTGTCTTCCATCTCTTTTATGTTTCTTTCCTTTCAACCCCCCCCTATTTATTACAGCTTTTATCAACTCACCACCAACTCGCCATTTCCATCGATTTCAATTCATTAAATCTGCCAATTCTCATTCTTTTTATTTCAACCGCCGAATTCCTCCGCACTTCCTTTTCCCGTTCCTGATTTCTGTCTTGAGTCTGCTATCAATATTTCATCCAATAAGAAATTATGTCTGCAGTCATCTCGATGCCAGGAGTTATCATGTTAAATTTGGCCCATGCCAAATTGATGGTTCAAGGTGACGACCCAAACAATGTCCCTGAAGTGAATAATAAATAAATTAAAAGCTTTTAATGTAAAGTAAAAAAAAAAAAATGTCGACATTCTATTGCCGATTAGCTGAAGTATCTTGGTCCAACATATTTTCTTGTGAGTAATTTTTAAGATCTCATCTTGTCGTTTGAAAATGTTGTTTCGGCTTTGAGCAGGAATTCTTTAGCGAACTCGTTGCCAACAAAAAGTAATCGGTAGCGTGAAAATGGCCGGAAACCTGCCAAAATTGCTTATTGCTTATTAACGATTGCAATCTGAAATCAAATCCAAGGACATAAAAGATTGATTGATGGATTTTTTACAGGTTATCAACCTGTTTTATGTTATTTAAAACCAAAAGAGATTTACGCGTTGAATCAAGATTAAAGAATTTGGTCTTCCCAAGAAAACTTTCTGGAAAGCAGTGAAGTTAAGCAATGTCAAGCCTGGTTGAGTGATCACTAGGAATACCATACCAAGTTAGAATGAGTGGATGGTGTAATGGATAACGTCTGGGAATTAAACATCGGAGAGCCGTGTTTCAATTCCAGTTGGGTTCTTTATATTCCCTTATGTGCAAATAGCCATCGGATGAGTATGAATGCACTTGTTCTACCCCCTCCCAGTTATGGGTTAAATAGTGGGACTTGTATCAGTAAATCATTTTTTTTCGCCAAAGTATTCTCACAGTATAAGAATATTTTCGGGCTTTAAATAACCTTCAAATAGGTTGATAAACCGTAAAAATCAAATAAATCAATCAATATTAAAACCGAAACTTATTTTAGGATTGGAATAACGTTTATTTTCTTACTAGCAGCATGGCCCGGCGTTGCCCGTGCTTGATTCAAAAATTGTACGACTCATACAGCAATCGCTATCCCTTGACTTAAATTATTTTTGCCCTTCCTTGCCTTTAAAGGAGTGCCCTTTGCCGTGCTGATGTTGCTACATGCTTTACTTCTTGCCTATCTCACACAGCGAATTTTTTCTAAGCTCTATACTAAACATTAAATCTGTTACGAAAAAAGAACTAAACAAAATGAACACAAAACGATCAGCTTTAAAAAAAAAAAAAGGACTCGTAACTGGAAAAACCGAATGAAAAAAGAATGTTAACAACAAATACTTTTTCACACCCAACTCAGTTCTGCGGAATCAGAATCAACGTTGAGTTTAAGCAAGCGAATGAGCCAATTGGAGTAAAGTGCCATGCAGATTTAAATTTTTCCCACTTGTGACGAATGCAGATATCGATTTTTTTGCATGCTAGCATGCTAGTTAGCATTCATGTCAGTCAGCTGTTGGCTCTCACGCTGGCCAATAGAATCTTCCTGACTATTCGTAGCAGCCAGCTATAGGCTCTCACACTGGCCAGTACAAAATGGCCGCAAACTATATGAAAACTGCTGTAGAAGCATGAAAAAATCGATTATTTCCACTATCGATGGGAGTTGGGAAATGCAAAGTCTGTCTTAGCCTTTCCGCTAACTTGGAGCATATGCATGTAAATTTTGGTGCAAATCCGTCGAAAATTGTCGAGTGAAGACTAGGCTGCCTCAATCGACATATGTCAGCGGTACTCAATTTTAGGCCTGAGCAACTCTTGTAAATGAGACTTGAAGTCGGAATAAGGTACATACTGAAGAAGTGCGTGGAGTCAACCATTTGCCACCATCTTTAGAGACATATCATACATACAAATCCACTTGAGGTCTTGAGTAAGCACACGAGGCAAGGATTCTTCTTGTCTCTCTCTCTCTATGTGTTTGTGTGTGTGTGCATATTTGTGTATTTAGGCAGCACTCCCGCTCTCAACACTACTCTCTCTCTCTCTCTCTCTCTCTCGGTTTGATATACCCAGCCTTAGACTCACACCCCCTGTCACAGCCTCTCACTAATTACAGAATATCACTCTCTGCCTAAGTTTCTCACACTCTCTCTTAACCCTCACTCTATCGGCCTCTCTTTCTCTGCCCCCCTCTCTCTCTGTGTTTTATACAACCTGCTCCAGACTCTCAACCCCTGTCTCAACCTCTCTCACTGCATTAGAATCTCACTCTCTGCCTATGCCTCTCACTCCCCATCTCAATCCCTCTCACTCTCTCTCTTTCTTTCTCTCTGTATCCCTGTCACAGCTTCCTCACCCCCTTTCTTATCCTCAATCTATCTACCTCGGACTCTCAACCCCAGTCTCAGCGTCTCACTCATCGCATCAGTATCTCACTCTCTGCTTAAGCTTTTCACACCCTCTCTCAAATCCCTCTCAACCCCTCTCTCTCTCTCTGTGCCTCTCTCACTCATTGCATCAGAATCTCACTCTCTGCCTAAGATTCTCACTCCCTATCTCAATACCCCCCTCTCTCTCATTGCATCAGTATCTCACTCTCTGCCTAACTTTTTCACACCCTCTCTCAAACCCTTCTCAGCCCCTCTCTCTCTCTCTGCTTCTCTCACTCATTGCATCAGAATCTCACTCTCTGTCTAAGATTCTCACCCTCTATCTCAATCCCCCCCTCTCTCTCTCTCACTGAATCAGAATCTCACTCTCTGTCTAAACTTTTCACACCCTCTCTCAAACCCCTCTCAGTCCCTCTCTCTCTCTGCCTCTCTCACTCATTGCACCAGTATCTCACTCTCTGCCTAAGATTCTCACCCTCTATCTCAATCCCCCTCTCCCTCTCTCATTGAATCAGAATCTCACTCTCTACCTAAGCTTTTCACACCCTCTCTCAACCCCCCTCTCTCTCTCTCTCTGCCTTTCTCTCTCATTTTTATATACCCTGCCTCAGATTCTCAACCCCTGTCTCAGCCTCTCACTCATTGCATCAGAATCTCACCCTCTGCCTAAGCTTCGCACTCTCTCCCTCATCTCTCTGCCACCTCCCCTTCTCAGCCTCTCTCTCTCTCTCTCTCTCTCTCTCTCTCTCTCTCTCTGCTTGTTACCTGGTTATCTGTGCTTTTTTTAATCTCCTAACAATGATAGATACTGACAGATGGATGCGTATGGGCGTTTCTTTTCGAATTCATTTTTAGTTAAGAATCTTTTTTTTCTTCTTTTTCAATTAACCATCTGTTTCCCAGCAAAATGATTCCTGCCACAACAGCGATCGCCAGAATCCATGCTGGTCTCTGACCGATTATATTCATTTCATCCATCTGGTTCGCATTTTGAAATTTGAGCTTAATTTTTTTTTAATTAATTATTATTTGCACAAACACAGTATCTTCTAGAAAAACATTCTAGCCTATATAACGAGAAAACATTAAAAATAACTCTCTCTAAAGAGCAAAGGGAAAATATTAGGGTGTTCAGAAAGTGATTAAGATTAACCAGAAAAGATATAAATATTATGCAAGCTAAATTTATTTAAATATTATTTATTATAAAAATATAACTGCTTACATTTTCAACATCTTTTCAATGGAAATGCAGATTTTTGATTCCAAAGACCGGTTCACACTTCTCCTTCGCCTTTTCAACAGCAGTAGAGATTTATCCATTGTTTCCTCTTTAGGTTTGGCTTTCCGGTTCATTCTTTATCCAAAAATGTAACTGCCTTCATTTTAAACGACTTTTCAATGGAAATGCAAATTTTTGATTTCAAAAGTCCGGTTCACACTTCTCCTTCGCCTTTTCAATAGGAGTAGAGAGTTATCCATTGTTTCCTGTTTAGGATAGTACCACTTACTACAGTTTCAATATATCAAACCATTTCCCACCAATGTCATCGACTCACTACCGGGGACGTTCTTATACTGTGTACTTTTTATATTGTTTATTGTGTGAGTAAAAGATCAAATGCATACGAAATATGGCTCATAATCCGATAGGATGATAAACTGAAGAAAAAAAATAGCAAATGTATATCAATCTAACATTTTTCACTTTTATTAAGTCTTCGTCAGAGTTTGAGAGGAAACAGACAAAAAAAAACTCTGGTATTTTCTGTGGGGGCCAGGTTTCATTGGTCAGTATCACGTGCATTAAAACCTTAGATAATTCTATATATGTACAAGTTTGGGAAGATTCTTGTATGTCTAAGCGGGCGTCGAATCGTAATGTGTATTCGTGAGTGTATATGTGTGTCTGTCAAGTGGGGGTTTTAATGTCTTCACTTTTGTGCTGTCAGCTCATCATTCTAATCTATAGCTGATCTTTTTATAAGTATGTATATATTATAAGTTGGATTCCAAGAGAAAAGTCTAAGTTGGCTGGCACCAAAACATGCGTAGGTCAGTGTTATTGTTAGAAAGACCATATGGCTTTCTATTATGTTCATGCTCTTCTCCTCCGGGATTTTTGCTATAATGTCATTGTTTCTGACTTTGACAATGACGGTAAGTACATTATTTCGGAAGAAAAGCATCCTCTTGTCTTCGAGGTTTTTCATTCTTTCATTGGTCATAAATACGAAATAACTGTCTTTGGGGCGGTGGCTGTCATGTCAGAATGGTATAAATACTAATTATTTGACTACTTCTTTGGCTTCAGGGTAAGCAGCGAAATTATACGTAACATAAAGTTCACCTTTTTTTTTTTTTTTTGCTTCTTGCAGTCCAATGTCGGACAAATAGGTTAGACACATAAGTTATATTATCTGTCGGGGAAGGAATAAAAACTGTATGGCAAAGACGTAAATAAAATTTCCCGACATTGAAAAAAAAATTGCTGACTATGAGATTCTTTTTTTTTTCGTTGGTAAATGGATTTTCCTAGCTTTGAAGAAATAGCTGTGTCATGTCTGCGATGTCTAAGAGGGTTTCTTTTGATAAAAAAAAAAAACAAATCTTTGTTCTTTAAGAAGTGCTTTCGGGCATACGGCATATATCTCAAACAACATACGATGCGCCTTTCACTGTATATATTGCAAATTCTTCACCTGTGTTCCGTGTCCCTTCCTTTGACAATCATGGCTCTCCACTTTTTCCTATATTTTTTAGCTCTTAGTAAATTTTCTCTTCTCCTGCCATCCATTTACGCAGCTCGTTAGGTAGGTTTGCGTTGTCATTCTCTGTCACTCTTGCCGTTCATCTGACCTGTGAATGTCAAATTTTCCAAGCCTTTTTTCGTCATTATGTTCACTGTCATTGGGTGAACAACCCAACGCTTTGCGAATTCTCCTTCGCAACAATAGGAAGAGCCGACATCAAAGGATCAAGAAGCGACGTCTCTACGAACGCTTGGCCGCCACAAGCCAGTTATGGCTTGTGGCGGCCGTGATAACTTTTTTCTCGACGGGACGGAGCTCCCCGCTCGGAAAGAATCGATAGGCCACGCTTTTTCGGATGTTAATTATAACTTTTTCTTTGCATTTTCTCTAAATCTTTGCCGTTGCTCACGCGTTCAATTCATGGTATTCTCAGCATCCTTCTGTAGAACTATCTTTCTGTTGCTTCATTTCATCTACGAGAACATTGTCCCGCATTCGCTGTTATTTGGGAGGACTGATATTACCTAAGTGTTCAGTACACTTTGCTTCCAAAGAAATTTTATTTTTTTTCAATATTTGCTTAGATTCTGGAAGGCATCTTTCTTTATCCCAATGAACATTGGGATTTTGCTGTTTCACTTTCCGTCCTCTGTTAAAAGACTTACCAGGTATTTAATCATTGTATTTGCTTTATTTTGGTATAGCCGATTTGTATTTTGCTTGTTGGACCGTGACTTTTGGAAACAAATATGAATTCTCTGTTCTTGCAATTGATGCTTAGTCCTTTCTTCTCGCTTTCTTTCAGTACGTTCTGTATGAGATCTTGTAATTTCCTCTCTGTGTGTGTCATAACAACTGTCACACAACAGTGAATCCTAGTGAGACTGGACCGCGTCATTTTGTAGGTTTTTAAATCTGGCGAGAAGACACACTTGTCTTGCAACCCTTTTTAAATGTTTATATGCAATCAGAATTTTTATATCCTAATTATTCCAACAGAACGTTTACAAGACGCAAGTTGTACAGATCATATAAAGGATATAATAAAGTTTTTATAGGATCGTGTTCTTTTTTTCTTATTATTTTTCGTTTAATTTTAATCATGGCTGGTTTAACCAAAACAATACTTCATAAATATAGCCATTATCTATCCGTATGTAGATGTTTTTTAAGGAATTAATTAAGTGGTCCACTCCTAAAAAAATAAGGAAGAATTTCGAGGGGTGGGCACAGTTTTGTTGATTAATATTCATTAGACATTCCTCGAGCTATGGTATTTGCCAGAATCAATATATATATATATATATATATATATATATATATATATATATATATATATATATATATACACTTTTATCACTTTAGAAGAATGCCCCTGTAGATAATGTAAGTTGTGTCAAATCGATCACTGACTTCTTAAAGAGTTATCGGTACGTGGTTTTATTTATAAATATCGAGTTTAAAATTGTGCCTACGTCATTGATGACTTGGGACTTCTGCCTTTTCTTTTTGTTATTATACCGTGATCCGCAGGGTACTATGGGGTACCATGTGTACTGCACCGGCAGTAGAAGTGGTATTTCTTGCGCAACATAGCTTGAAGGACCCCAATCATATCCTGGCCGGATTTGAAATCAGAGTTTTTCCTTTTCTAAGGCTTGTTTCCACACAAGGTTAACGAACCCAGTTTGTCCTGATATTTATCCATAGCTAGTGGGGAAGAAGAAGGAGATTCATACCTTTCCTAAGGTTATTAGCAAGTAAATGAATGTAATGGATTCGACTAGAATTTGAACACTGCTCTCCTATTCCTCAATCCGAGCCACTATCCATTACCCCACCGATTGGAGTTGATACGCCATTAAACAAACAAATCATTCTAGTCTTAATTTCTAATTTATTCCAGGTTGTTGCAGGATTTTACAAGCAGAAACATATCTGATTATTTCTGTGTAGCTTCAACATTTCATACCTTTCGCAAGGGTATTAGCACGTAAGTGAATGTAATAGATTCGACTGGAATTCGAACTCGGCTCTCCGATTCCTCAATAATACAGTCAGTTATGTGCCATGTGTGATACACGCTTAGGCCATCATCTATCTTTCGATACATGACTGACGAGGCAGATTTTTTTCCCGCTGTATATTTCTTTCTGCAGTAGACCAGTTGCCATCCAAGGCTATAGAACCCAGTCTGTTCTGCTATTTACCCATAGCTGGTCGGGGAAGAAGGGCATTGGCACTTAAGTGAATGTAATGGATTTGACTCTCCTTCTTGATAACAGTTCCATCTGTCCAATGTCCTTCACAAGGCGTATATCTGGTAAAAATGTTCTGCTTTTCACAAGAGGTCATTAAAAAAAATAAAGAAATATGATTTTTAAACACTTTTTTTTCCAAATATAAAATGATTAGACCATGCTGTCAAACTAATATTGCGTTTAAATTCGTAAAGTTTAGGTACCATTATGGACATTTCCTCATAACAATTACGATTATAGATAAAGCGTAGGGACTTTTCGATACGGTGGTAGAAAAGGTTCTGAAGCCGAGTTGCCAGATTAGGACCAAAGACATTGCCGATTCTTCTTTGGATTTTATCAAGAATCTCTAGATATACAGCAAGAACACCAGACCGCATGTAGAAACAATATTCATAGCAAGGAGGAATGGAAGAGTTATAGATATATAAGAAAGTTTCAGGTTAGGAAAAAAATGTCTATCACGACACGGAGAATCAACTTTCCTAGCAGCAGATATAGCAATTAGTTCAATATAGTCTATTCACTTGATGTCAGCGGAAAACGCTAACACGTGAAGGAGAAGTGCGTCGTTCTTCTGGGGGTTAGCATCAGCAATACGGATAGAAGACAAAAAAGCTTTTATTTTATTCATTTTAGGTACCATATTTGACTGCATATAAGACGCACGACTATATAAGGCGTACCTAAATTTCTGCATGGCAAATCAAGAAAAAATTAGTAATTAGTAAAATTAGTAAAGTTATTAGTAAATGGTACAGTCTAGGCTATATT